GTATCTCCGCGCGCCCATGTAATATCCTCTATTTATACTTCCGATATGCTAATAATAGGATTATAGGAATTTGAGTTTATTTTTCATGATTTGTAAATTGAAACACTGATTATTATGAGACTTGATATCTCCAAGTTCCATCACTCAAATCATACAAAAATATTTTATCATTCAACTATTTACTTCATGTAGAATCAATACTGGAAATATTAAGTCAGGTGTTATAGGCACTTGACATTTGATATTTGACACTTTAAAGATAGATACCTACCATCTTCTTGATCTTAAGGTCATAAACTTGGCTTGCATGGATTCCGACTGGTTGGGTTTCCTTACAGGTGGGAAAAATTAGCAATATATAAATAATGTTAAACTGAGTTTGTTACCTGCATGGTTTGACTACGTTGTATCGTTTTTATTAATTTTCAATTACTTTCCTTCTTTTTTTCAGTTTTTTAACCATTCTTTCACTCTTTTTTTTTTCTTTCTTTCTTTTTTGTTGTCTTTCAATTCATTTTCGCAATTCAATTCTTTTCTCCTTCTTATGATTTCGTCTTATATATCTTTCCTTCGTATGTATTTTCGTACTTTCTCCTTCCCCCCCCCTCCCCCCCACTTTTTTCTTTCATTTTATTAGCCTAAAGGACAGTTTGCATACATCAAACAAAATAGATAGCCCTTGACAATACTTGAACCTGGCTTCCTAAGAGGTTTTAAAACTAAGTAAGGGGTTCTATAGCTAAGTATACTTGCATATTTCTTTAGTGGTATTAGAGGTCTTAAGTAAGACCTGTAATACTAGTAAAGAAATAGGTAAGAGCACGAACCTGTATAGGGAAAGGCAGCTCTTCGCCATACAAGTAGTTAGGTTGTTCAGTCACCTACCAAAGAAAAAGCACAAGGGAGTACTTTAAAAGTATTTTAAAGCTGCAAAAAAAGCTAGCAAAGGGAGATAAAAACACCCTATCTCAACTGGATTCCCTGTCTCATGGACATTTGCTACTAGTAGTAGATGAAGCACTTCCTTTAAATAAACAATATATTCTTTAATTTAGTCTTTGTTATTGAAAAGTATGGAGAAGATAAAATTTGAAAATATCAATTTTGCTTTGTCATATATTTAATTGAAAAGTTAAAATAATCGTGACTCAGGTATAATATTATTTGCATGAAAAAAAAWTTTTTTTTTGATTCCTTGAAAAAAAGCACAGATATCTGATTTGAGTCTTGAACTACATGACATGACAGTCACTCTATCATATTAGAATACACAGAAGGTTTCAAAGTTCATTCAACTTACTAACTTACCACAGACAGTATGATTAGCAGCAATAGAAACACCACCACAATTGCGATAAGTAGAGTTATGAATAATCTCTGTAGATCACACCAAGATGAAATAAGAATTTTATTAAAGATTGGTCAACTATTGCATATTCAATTTTTGATATATATACCCTTAGAAAACTCATTAATAATTCATGAAGGAAACACAATAGAAATCATGACCATGAAGGTGATTTTATATCTGATACGGATTCGTCTTCATTTGCATAAATGTTAACTTGGATTTTCTCTATTAAACTTGGTTCATTTCGTAAAGTATTCTGTACAATATGAAAACATACATCATCAGTTTTCTAAGCCGTTTAATAAACTCGGAGATCGTGTCTTATCGGGTCTAAAACCACTCGGCTGCGCCTCGTGTTTTATACCCGATAAAACACTCCTGCTCATTTTTTAAACAGTACGTATATACTTTATAAGAAATTTTAATTTAAAATAAAAAAATTGGCACAAAACTATTTAATTAATTGAAATTGATTGGAACAGTATACGTTCTGCATAATTATTAGCACTATGGCTAATTCATGTGTACTTACTATGTCGATGAAACAATAGAAACCAATATACATTGCACTAGATTACAAGCACTAAAAGTGTGCAACCCTAAACAGTGTTAAATTATGTTAGAGTGCTCAAGTTTCAAGTTTATTTTACAAAAGAATATCTATATTTACACAATTTATCA